AATAAAATAAAAAAGTTAAAAGGTAACGAGTATATGTACAACGTAAGTAGATATGTATATATATATATATATATATATATATATATATATTGTAATGATATATGTATAATTTCCCATACTGATATTATTAAGGTTTTTGGCAGACATTCAGCATTACTTATTATATTGACCAGTTTTCAATAGGAATTGATAATATTGGGTTGTCAAAACAGGACATTTTTTGCATTAAGACAGTTTGGGATACAAATAAACAACACACTGTAAAGAATACTTTATTCCTGCTTTATGTTTTAAAGTTTTCAACATTGACTTATCTTAGATATACTGAGTTTTAAAGTTAGTTTTTAGAATATAAAACTTTGCTTAATGAAATTTTGTATACAGTAACCATAACTCTGTACAACTCGGCAAGACACAACTTGATAAGAAAAACTCATAGGATGAATTTTGTAAAGAAATAAAGAAGTTGTAGTAAAATTATTACATTAATGTAAATACTTGATGTGATTTTTTTTTTCAGATTGTACAAGGCAAGACAAGAGCAGAAAAATGTAGCAATTGAGAAGCAGAATTTAGAAAAAAGGTTGCAGGATGAAAAAGACATTTTTCTGGTATGAAAAAGATGGATTTTGTGATAAAAATCACATAAACTGCAAATGTGTTTCCCCTGCACACACACACATTCCTGTCAATTTGTCCGTTAGTTTCCACTGTTTTGTCAGTTTTTGACATTTAACTTGTAACTTTTAAAGCCTTGAACTGTATATGTAAATAGCATTTCAGAGAATCTTTTATTTTTTATTGCCCAGCCTAACTGATGAGTTCTGGTATTGAATGAAAGGCCTCTTGGGCAGTGACTTGTGGGATACAAAAGATAGATCTGAGATACTATTTCTACACACTTCTGATTTGGAATCCAAAATGACAACTTAAGAATAATATAGAGAAAAAATTCGTAGTTTACATTATGTTTATCACAAAGGCTAGGCCTCTTACGCTTCTCTAGTTTTTAACATTTAAAGCTTATAACATATAAAATTGGTTCGGTTAATTTTTCTCAAAATGTTGAGTACGATGGGTAATTATAAAGCAGAGACATTGTAAGTTGGCTGTAGGTTACCATGGTTTTTCTTTTGTTATTACAAACTGCTGTAAGTGATAACCCAATCGTTTCATTGAAATAAGTATAAAAATGATCATATTATGGAAGAAAAAGTAATGTAGCACACATTTTACTTGATGGATTTTGACTTAGTTTGTTTCAAATGATTAAAAACATCATACAGAACAGAAAACATGGGGTTACACTGTAAATATCTTCAGAAGCGGCATACAAAATGAAGTTTGTTGGGTTTGGTGACCGAGCTAACTGGAGGTCCAGAATGTGGCAACTGGAATTAACAACAGCAGTGTATTACAGAATGGTCAGTGGTTGGATATAGATGCTTAATAATTATTTCAAAGCTTGAAGAACATCTGTTGCCTTTGAACATGTGCATCACTGTGGATGCCCATGAATACTAAAACCATCTAAAACTGTAACATAAAAAAAGACTAGAAAAAAGAACACACATATGGTTAGTTTTAGGGTGTATGGGGTGATACATGTTGTTAAAAAAGAAACTTCTCAAGAATGATCAATTACAGAATAAAAGAAGTGTTTAATTCAGTGTAATGATTAGCAGAATGAAAGAATATTTCTTTATGACTGATAGATTTTTAATTAGCTTTGTTTATTTAACTTGGAAAATCTTTTGTGATGTACTCTTATACTTTATTATACTGGTTGTACTTGTGATGTACTGTTATTCTTTATTTTACTGGTTGTACTGTTATTCTTTATTATACAGTACAACCAGTATAATAAAGAATAACAGTACATCACAGTACAACCAGTATAATAAAGAATAACAGTACATCACAGTACAACCGGATACATAATAAAGTATAACAGTACATCACAGTACAACCAGTATAATAAAGTATAACAGTACAACCAGTTATACTTTATTATGTATCTGGATGTACTGTTATTCTTTATTATGTATCTGGATGTACTGTTATACTTTATTATGTATCTGGATGTACTGTTATTCTTTATTATGTATCTGGATGTACTGTTATTCTTTATTATGTATCTGGATGTACTGTTATTCTTTATTATGTATCTGGATGTACTGTTATTCTTTATTATGTATCTGGATGTACTGTTATTCTTTATTATGTATCTGGATGTACTGTTATTCTTTATTATGTATCTGGATGTACTGTTATTCTTTATTATGTATCTGGATGTACTTGTGATGTACTGTTATTCTTTATTATGTATCTGGATGTACTGTTATTCTTTATTATGTATCTGGATGTACTGTTATTCTTTATTATGTATCTGGTTGTACTTGTGATGTACT